TCCTCCCTCCTTCCACCCTCTCGAGGCCCCCGCCTCTCGCCTCTCCCGCCGCCTCCCTCCCTCCCTCGCTCTCTCCTCTGGCTCTCTCCCCCCTTCTCCCCCTCAATCCGGAACTCTTTCCCTCTCCCTCCTTTCCTCCCTTTTTCTCTCTCCTTCTGCCTCCTGTCTCTCCAGTCCTCACTGCCTACACCTCCTTCTTTCGCTCTCTTCTCACCCTCCTGGTTTCTCTCTCCGCTCCTCTCAATATATACTGACCCTTTTATACCCACCCGCGCCGCGCCCAGCCCAGCTGAGGTCTGCAGCCGGAGGGAGGGCCTAAGCACTTGGGTTCCTTATTCTCTGGGCCCCCACCCACTGCTCCCAGACAGGCATCTTCTGGGGCTCCCTCCCAGGATTGAGCTGAGAATTTGGAGCCAAGGGAGCCGAGCAGGGCCAGGGTGGGGCAAGAATCAAAGAGTGGGAGGGCCCGGTTCTCAGGCCTCTGCTCTGGGTCTTGCCCCGGCCCCGGATGTCTGCTTTCCTTGATGGGGTTTAGGACTGGATACTCTAATGGGGGTCTGGCGGAGGAGACCAGACCAGGCGGAGGTCTGGTTGAGAGCTGGGAGAGTTGGCCCGATTGTGGGAATCAGGGGATGGAAAATGGGAACACGTCAGACTCTGGAAGGGGGCAGGCGGTGGGATTTAATCCGGGTGCCACCATTTCCTGCCTGGGGGTCCTTGACCAATGATTTAAACTCTCTGAGCCTCGTTTTCCTCATCTGTGATATGGGTACAATGATACTGATCATACTGACAAGATACTGGTCGTCATAATTTGGATACTTATTCTAAATGAATAAGGTAGGGGCGCCTGGGTGGCTCAGGTCACGATCTCACGGTTCATGGGTTCGAGCCCCTCGTCAGGCTCTGCACTGACAGCCAGGAGCCTGGAGCCTGCTTTGGATTCTATATCTCGCGCTCTGCTCTCAACAATGAATAAGGAAACATTTAAAAAGACAAATGAATAAGGTAATACCAGTACACTAACACACCTACACGTTCAGGTTCATTCCTTTCTTCATCAAACATTTATTGAACATCTGTTAGGAACCAGGAGGTAAGAATAAAGAAAACAGAGGCAATGCCTGCTGTTATGGAGCTTACCTTCCCTGTAGGAGCAGACTTTAAAGAGAAAACCCATCAATGAAGACTGATGTATTGCAGCCAGTGCTAAGTGCTTTTCAGGAAATAGAGTGGAGGTGATAATGACCACGTGGGAGGAGCCTACTTTAAACAAGGTGATCAGGCAAGACCTCTGTGAGGAGGTGATCTCTGAGCTGAGACCTGAGGACAGGACAGTCATTTCAGTGCTGGAGGAAGGGAAAGTGCAAGACTCCGGAGAACAAGCTCAGGTTGTCTGGGGAGTGGACAGAAGGGCCAGTGTGGCTGGAAGAGAGGGAGTTGGAGGGAGTGGTAGGAAGAGAAATCAAAGAGGGCCCTTGAAGAACTAGGGGAGGAGTTTGTATTTTATTCTAAGTGCAGTGACAAGCCATTGGAGGGTTTTAAACAGAAGAGCAGCACCAGGGACTTAATGTTAACTATTTATTATTATTATTATTATTATTATTATTGTTGTTGTTATTAAGTTATATCTGGGTCTCTTGGAAGGTTTGGGTGCTAGTGAAAAATTAGAATAAGGGATCAGATGTCTGAGGTCCTGATGAAGAATTGAGTTGGAGAACTGAAATTCTAGGTTCCTACAAGGGAAGGAAACTGGCCGATAGGGTGGCTGGGTATCTTGATGGGGCAGGAGAGTGGATGGTCATCTCGGCTCCCTGAAGGGGTGAGGGCCGGGCAATTCAGTGACTTAGGTGGGTACTCAGGAGACACAGAAACTGGGGCACCAGTATGGCAGTCTATAGAGGCCAGTGGGCAGCATTCCAAACTGCTACACTCAACAGCTGTGAGTTAGGACAAGTTACTAATAACCTTTCTATGCCTGTTTATCTGTAAAATAGGGCTAATAGTAAATACATCATAGGGTATTTCTTAGACTGTCGGGCACATTGTTATACCAACCACTGGAACCCCGAATGGAGGTAGTACTGGGGGACTCTAGTTCAAGGTCTCTAGGATTGGGGGGAAGGAGAAAATTCTTGGGTCCATTGGGCCCCAAAGGCTAAACAGTTGGGAATACAAAATGAGGGTTCCTGGGGGGTGGGGAATAAATAGTCCCAAACTTAAGTGTTTGAGAAGGACACAGACTGGGGGCCAGGGTCACTGAGAAAAAAAATGAGGCGGGAGGGTCACGTGATCTTCATGGAGCCCTGGCACAGGGAACCAGACTGGCCCCGGAAAGAGTCTGGAAGCCAGGGGCTAGGGAGATGGAAATGTGGGTGGGCAAGGTGGAAAACAGGAGGCTAGGACTCGAAATCAAGTTCCCGGAGTGCAATGAGCGCCAGACTTGGGGACCTTGGGAACGTGGAGGAGGTCCCTCGTGCTAGGACCCTGTGGAAGAGGGAGAACCAGGGAGCCCCAGGGCGGTAACGGGATCTCCCCGTCCTGGGCCTCCAAGGCTTCGAGCTGAGCTGAGCGCCCGCGGGCTGCTTCCTCCCACAGGAAACCGCAGGCTTCGGGCACACCCAGCCGGCAGGGAGCGGCGCCCACTACCCGCCCGCTCCGGGGAGGCCCACGTGGGCAGCAGCCCGCAGCGCGGGCGGCCCGCCTGCCGAGCGAAGGGGGCGTGGCCAGGAGGGGGCGTGGCCGGAAAAGCGGGGGCGGCCCGAAGAGCCCGAGGCCCCGCCCACTCCCGCCTCTCAGGGTGCGGACCCACAAGAAGTTTTTGGCGGCTTCGCTGGAGGCCGTTGGCCGCGCATGCGTAGTGAGTCACTGCAAGGACCGGCGTTGGTGATGAACGTTCCTTCCTCACAACTCCCGGCATCGGCACCGTCTTCCTGCTAATGACTCTTCAAACAACGTGGTCTTGACTTAAGACACGCATCTCTCGGGCCTCGTCCCGAAACACCTGGGCCTAGCTCCAAAGCCTTCCAGACCTTTCCCTCCCAGTCCTGGCTCCATAGGGTCTTTCAGCTTCTGCCTCTCCCTTCCGAAAGCACAGCCCGCCGCTCACAGTCCCTCGCTCTCGGTAGGCGCCTTCCCACCGGGTCCCTTAACGAGTACTTCTAGCCACGCCCCTCGCAAGTCCGTGAACCTACGGCCTCGGCAGGTACCGGTGCCCCTCCCATCGGCAGCCCCCCC